TAGATGTAAGTTAGTATATTCATGAATTACTCCCCAAATTCAATTATGATACCCGAATCAGTTCTTCATTATTGGTGACTGTAAATAATTTACTAACATCTAAACATACAAATAAAAATTTAAAAAAGATCTTCGCAAGTTTACCATCATCCCATATACTCAATTTCAATATAATGAATGACTTTAACTATAAAACATAACAAATTATAAATAACGATTACCAAAAAAAATATTTTAAAAGATAAAAGTAAAACTAAAAACACTCATACACGCTCAGTAGCATGTCAAGTAGTAACAAAACATAGATTTGATGACCAGAGCTGATCACCATGGTAATGTTTTTTGTTGAATAACAAAAGAAGTATTCTTTATTTTCTCATTTCTATTCCCATCAAAAGTATTCCATCCAACGAAAAAATAGAATAATTAATCAAATGAGTTAACAGAGGTTATTAAGTTTTTATTTTCTTAATTCTATTCAGCAAATTAAACATCAGGCATGTAATTTCCCAAAGTGTGTAACTATATTTTATTATGATTTATAAATATTTTCAATTTCTGAAGATAAAAATGCCAGCATTATATCTGTCCTTAGTGATTTTCATTTTATTATGATTAGATATCTATCATCCATCATTGCTATCATTGTAATTCTGAAAGTGTGACTATGCATATCAGACTGCACTTGAGAGAGGAGAGGACAGTGTTGCGTATGGTTTGGATTTTTTTTTTTATGAGCAAACATTTAAATAATTATTTTCTTAATCCTCAATAAGTTTTCTCTTATTTTTCTTTATCCATGTCAGCAACATATTTCTTTTTTTCTTTGCTACTCCATATAAACATTATTATTGGGAAGACTTGTGAGGAGGCATAAAAAAATGGGGTTAATATGCAATTTGGACCTTAAATTATAGGTTTATGAGTGATTTGAATCCTATACTTGTAACTGATATATTTTGAACCCTGAATAATTAAAGTTAGTGTTTCCTCACCCCCACCTTTAATTTGAAACCAATGGCCGTTGCTTTTTAAACATACAGCAAATAGAGAATGTGGGCCCCACTATGTTTCAAATTAATGGTGAGGATCAGGATGCACCAACTTTAATTGTTCTGGATCCAAAATATATCAATTGCTATTATAGGATTCAAATCACTCCTGAACCTATAACTAAGGGTTCAAATTTCATATTAATCCAAAAAAAAAAACTTTGATTGGATATCAAAATTCTTCAGAGGCTTGGATTGGATATCTGTCATTCATTTGGAGGTATATCGTAAATGTCATGCTTGATTTGTGAGTGGCTGAGTGGGCATCAAAGTCACTCTTCATTTCCGTGCAAAATCGAAATAATCTAGAAGGGAAAAAAAGCAAGTGCCAAGTTATCCATACATACTCCATATTAAGCAATCAAAAATAATCTAAAAAAAAATAAGGATACAAAGTTGAAACAAAATTCTTGAATAAGTATTTTTCTTGAGTAGTTGTTGGCCAGTATATTCATGAATTACTTCCCAAATTCAATTATGATACCCAAATCACTTCTTAATTGGTGACTATAAATAATTTACTAACATCTAAAAATATAAATAAAAATTAAATAAAGATGTTTACAAGTTTATCATCATCCCTATCAATTTCAATACAATGAATGCATCTTAAACTATCAATTTCAACTATAACATTTTCTATAACCACATGTTTGAAATTTTTCAATACTCATATTTTTTGACATTCTCAAAATCAAATTTAAATATCAAATACCATGTTTATTTTTTATTTTTTGTTTGCAATTATATACGAAAACACCCAAAGTCTTCAAAAGTAGAGGTCTTCTCTTTCCAGCTTTTTTATTTTTATTTATTTATTTATTTTTTGAATTAATGGTTAAGCAATTAATTGAAACTTAATTGACTTGATGAGAGGAGTTGACGTCACAACTACAAGGCTCGATATTCATGCTTGACTTGTGATTGTGAATTGAAGAAAGGGCACAAATTAATATATCTATTTCTTTTGAGGACAAAAATAATTATTAAATATTGAAATTTAATTCGTCCTCCCAAAGAAGTTAATGCAATATTGGAAGAGAAAGAAAATTTCCTGTTGTATAATTTCACCCATTATCACATTGATTAAGGACCACATTTTTATTTTGGCCTCATGTTATTTGTGGTCAATCTGTCCTTGCCTGTTGTATAATTTCACTTTTGAGACCACATTTTTATTGTTTTATTTCATTTATGGTCAGGTCTGGCAAGCATTGAAAAGAAGTTTGTGTGGAGATATTCTCTCCTCAATTATGCATTTCTTTTTTAATTTTTGGGTGAGACGGTTATTCATTTCTTCATTACTCAGCATTTATAGTTTTATAGATATAGAGATTCTACTATTTATAAAATTCTTTGTTATAATTTACATGAAGTTTAAACTAATGAAAGAAATTTATTTGTGTTTTCTCTCATGCTCATTACGCATAGCTAATTTCATTACTGATAAGTTTATAAGCATTAGCGGTACTGACTGTATAATTTACTACATATAAATTTATTGATGAAATCATCATTATTTGATAGAGAATTTCAGGTAAAGCAAATAATAAAATGTTAGTATAAAAATAATTTAAAAATGTTAGTATTATCATTTTATGGCATGCTTGACTTTTGAGTTGGGTAAAGATATAAATAACTGTTACATAAAATTTAACCCGTAATAGAAGATGCAAGGAAAGAGAAAAAAATTATGTTAGTGATTGAAAGAAGCTTTGTCCTGCAAGATGGTTCGTTATCATTTCAAGAACAATATTTTCATTATCACATCAAAGTATAGTTTAATAGAGCAACCCAAAAAATACGTTAGTGATAAGAAGCTTTGTGCCTTTATGATGAATATAATTTTACTTCTTGGACCATATTTTCATTTTCATTGTATTATTTCATTTATGGTCAAGTTTGATAAGCCCTGTATAGAGGGTACTCCAAATGAATGTTAATAGTGATGGGAAAACTTGTGGGAAGCAATAAAAAATCTTGATTGGATATCAAAATTCTTGAGACTTGGAAATGCCGTGCTTGACATGTAGTGAGTAGGCATCAAAAGTCATTCTCCATTTCAAATAGACAAACAAAAGGACGCCTCTCTTGTTAAAAAATTCAACAAAAATATTAGCTATAATTAGTGTGTGTGGTAAAGTATATCTGTTTTTTTTTTATTTTTGAAGATATTATTTTGACCTTCTCAAATTTGATTTTACCAAATGATATCACAACTGTCTTGAATAATTTGCGCTTCAAGCATTGAGTATTTTAACCTTCTCACATTTAATTTTCTTTATAAGGCCTTTTGGGTCTCTGTTGATTACTTAAAAAGAATGGAATGAACTGAAAAATAAAGATAAAAATGAGCTAAATTATCTTTTCCCCAATGGTAAACTTGATAAAAACTCATTAATATATATTATAAATATTGGAATCATCACATCACACTCTCTAAAAATCTTATGAATCATTTTTCCCAACCCTAAAAACTAAATTACCCATCCTCTTTATGAATGCTCTCACCTATCTCCTTTTATTATCTTATTTTTATCATTATATTTTCAATCCATTCATTTTTAGTAAGCAAACGAGACCTTAGCATTTTTAATTGGTGATTATGTAATTCAATTCCATGTGCCTATTTCTACGAGGATGAGTGTTCTTTGTTTTAATGGAACACAAGTAATTTTATTTTAAATAAAAAAAGCATGTAGTGAATGGGTTCCATATTAATCAATCAATCAAAATAAAAAAAAACTATGAAAGGAGGGAAAAAAAATTAAGCCCAATATAAACCTGAATATCGTTTCCCATATAAATCTCATGGTATGTAGATTTTTTTTTTTTGTTACTTGTGCTTGTTTCAAATTGATTAATTTTAATTCTCTACTTTCTTGTATTTATAGCTTATATATTTTAATGAATATACAATAAAATACATAAATTTTATAGAAAGGTTATTTGCAAAGAACACATTATAATCATAATTTTAAATTTAAAGTAACACTCAATCTCTCTACAAAGGAGAAATTCAGCAGGTGACCATAAATTCCGCAATACATAATTTGATTTGATGGTATGAAAATGGAGTGTAGAAAAGAAGGGAAAGAAAAAAGACAGTATATAGAAAATTCCAACATTAAATGGTCAGTCAGCGAGGGACCGTATATTCATTGTCATTTCAATATTTTAATTTGCAGTCAGTCAAAGAAATTTGTGTTTTTATCTTTAACAATTTTGAGATATTTATAAGCTTTTTCATACAAAATGTGATAGGAATTATCATTTGCCTTTAAAATTAAATTAAAGCAAATCCTAATGTAATATAAGGCCAACCTTAAATCATTTTTTAAGGAATGATTTTAAATCTAATTTAAAGTTATTTAGTGAAATAAGTTACCCAAAGTTTGAAGTTAATTAACTAATTTTTAACCTAATTATCTAGTGAATCAAACTAAAAAATTAATCCTAATTGTGAATGAGGTGGCTTCTCAATTAAAGTAGGAACCCTAGGGTATTGTTAATGAAAGATTTCTAGCCTTTTAATTAATTATGGCAGCTCACATAACTCTTCTCCCTTGACTGAAAAATGTGTTTACTTAAAACAAGTATCTCAAGTACCTTAACTTCACTAATTCAATTCACTAAATACTATTACAAGTCCTTTAGGTAACCTTACTAGTTTAGCTCTAAAATTAATCAAGTGTTTAGTTAAGATTTAATAACTCTGAAATATAATTATAAAGTTAGAATAAATAATAAGAGAGATTTATTATATTTTTATTAAATGTTGGGGGAAAATAAACAAGATTGAATTGGTGGCTTAATGGCATTGGCTTTGGACCTTTATGTATGGATCATGGGTTCGCATCTCAAAAAAAAAAAACGGGAGAGATATTTTGTTGTTTAACATTCTGAGATTATCATATTACCCTCCAGAAGAAAATTCCGTCAGTTTTATTTTCATTCTCTCTCTACTTTCTTTTGTTTTTTCCGGATAAAAGACGTCAAAGCCAGAGGGAGTGCTTCGGGAGTCTTCTCTTCGATTTTGCCTTCCTCTTCCTCCATTCTTTTCCTTGCTTCGCCTCCACCACCAGTACGTGTGTGCTAATCGTTCATCCACAGCCATTGTAGGTGTCAAGGCTAGTAGATTCTTCTATCTCTGTTCAACGCTGCATCCTTGAAGATCTTCTTCCCTTGTTTTATTTAGTGCTGCCGCAAGCTGGTGCTGGTGGCTTCGATCCCTTTTCGTTCTTCCGTCCACGTGTGCGCATGGATGTAGGAACTTAGTTCGTCACTACTGTGGGTTGCCACTTGAGTCATCTTCCCTGTGCGCTGTTCTGCTCCTCTAATCTCGGTTGCATCGTTGCTGGTGCGTGGGGGCTGATTCACCAAAGCTGAGGTACTGCTCGTAAGTCCTTTTAATTCTTGGTTTGCTTTTGTTAGCTCTATTTTTTCCTGTGTGATGTACCGGACTTCCCTCCCCTGTTCAGCCATAAGATCTGTCTTCTCCTTCCTTACTTGTTTTTCGTTGGCTACTTGAGGTGAGAAGCTTCAATCTTTCTTCCCGTTGCTATGTGCGTGTGATTCTGGGTTTAAGTCATGAAATATTGTAAATTTTTCTTCTTTCTTCTGCTAGCCGTGAATAATGTGGAGTTGGGACTTTGGTATACTTTAGGCATTGAAATTCCATTATATATATTACATATATTATATTATAAGGAGATTGGAAGAGAAGAGAATTTGGTATTGTGATTTAAACGATAGTGCTTGCAAGGTGTTGGGAAAATGCTTGTTAGAGGAATTTGACATAATATGACAAGATACATGTGACGATTGTATTGTTGTTAGACAAAATATTATAGAAAACACTATATAATGAAAGTTGAGGCAGAAGTTAGAGGCTTATGGAATAGGTATTTTGATTGGTAATGCATGAACTAAATTGCTATTGATATGTTAGATTTTGGAATTTCAAAGGGATAATTGATGCAATGTTTGAAAGATGTTGGAAGGAAATATTTATTTATTCTCATCCTTGAACAAATTTATGTTGTAAATTTTAGATTGCAAAGTGTATATAGAAAAATGACTATAGTATTATTTGGACAATAAGAATTTAAGGACCTCGAGTTGTTGTAAAAAAAGCTAATTTGGAAGTGAGTAATATGTTTGGGAATCTATCAAGTAAGTGAACATCGTCCTAACTGATTTTTTTAATCAAAATTTCTTTTACTAGAATATTATGTTTTTTTGAAAATCATTTTAATAACATTAATGCGATTATTGGATATTTGTTAATTAACATTACTTTATTTTGAGAAATTAGCTTTACCAAATTTAAAATGTTATTTGATTAATTAAATCAAGTTTGGACTTTGATTGTGAGATTTTTATTTTATCAAATATTGGATTAATACAGAGAATGATTCATGCGAGTTTGACTTTAAAATTTTTTTTATTCAATAAATGCACACATGAGCATTAGATATAAAATTTTATTCTGGCAAGTTTTAATGCTTAAAAGTATTCATGCGAGTTTGATTTTGAGAATGAGAACTGTATCTTGAAAGTAATGATTTTCTCGCATATTTGAAAATGATTTTAAAAAAGAACTTTATACAGAACACTTGTTGCTAACGGTAGTTTCGTTAGTCTTTAGCGGGCCATGGTCCACCTAGCTAATAGGGTGCTTATAGGAGGTGCTAATCCCGTGCGATGGCCAACGCATGTGGAACAGAGGGATAGTTATTCGTGAGCATTGTACTCACGTTTGATTTCATGGCTTTGAGCCGCGTTTGGTTAGTATTACCCTCGTGAACTGAGTGTCCACGTTTGTTTCATGGCTTCAGATACATTTGATTACTTATTCTCATGAACTGTGTGTCCACGTTTGTATTCGTGGCACAAGCCGCGTTTGAGTTATTTACCCTCATAGACTATGTGTCTACGTTTGTAAATTGTTCTGTTAAGTCCTCATGATTATGAATCTGATTATTTGGTAATTTTATATCCCATTATTTTTTTATTTGATAATTTATTTACAAGTATTTAGTTCATTTATGTGATTCGTAAAAATCAAGTAATATTAGCATTTACTATAATAGTTCAATGGTTTAATATTTTATTCAAAATTTTATAGAATCATTTTATTCTGAAGCTTATACATTTTTTTATGGAAATTGTTGTCTCTTTAACTTACATGATTATCTTAAATTTTTTTATTTATTTATGTTAAATTATTTATTATTGGGACGTTATTCACTGAAAAATTATTTTGGTCTCAGATAGCATAATTGATGATGTATGTCTTACTTACCAATGATGGATGTTTGCAGAAGAGAATAGAGGTTTGTTCTGTAAATATATCTTATAGATGTAAATATGAAATTTATGTATTATGTCATAAAATATATGGCTGGATGCTTCACATAACTTATAATTATAATTCTTAGTTTATTATACATTTTGTTTACTGGTTGAAAGGAGCCAAGCTCCTAATGGATATAATATTTAAGAAAAATTTTTGTGATACAGGATTTTTGGCAGATCTTATTTATAGAGGAGGTTCTGTCAAAATTTTTACAAAAATATTGAAATAATTATTATAATGATTAATATCAATAGTATTAAAATATCAATGTAAAACTGAATACATTTTAATTAAGTGAAATAAATCTTAAATTTGTGGCTTACGGGATGTCTGATGTGGTTCACATCCTGTGCCCGTCACCCCTATTTTTGAGGCGTGACAACTTTTCATTGCTCAAAGCTGTATCTAAGCTCAAAATTATGAAAACTCAAATAACTCATCAAGTATTCACCACACAATTACATGCTAGGTTAATACAAGACATTCACCAATTGAAATTACATATTACAATGTAAATTCATGAGGAGGCTGAAAATTCCAGCAGCAACAAGAGCATGAAATTCAACTAAATAATCTTGTTTCAACATTACAAATTATAAACAACTATAAAACTAAAGTCAAAATTGAACCACAATCAACAATAGTTATAGTATTTTAATGGAATTCAAACAAGATGAAAAAATAGTTAAGCATAGCCAAGTAAAAACTTCAGGACTTCTCTTCCATCAACTCTCCCCTAGGATTCCATAAAGATTCTAGCTAGAAAGCATCAAAAAGATCTTCTTTCAAGACCCTTACTACCCGTGTAGGTGTAGAGATGATCTATTGATGGGTTGAACTCAAATCTCCTTCTAATTGGTTAGGTGGGTTCAGCCTTGAGAGAGGAGAAGAATGGTGGAAAAATTGGGTGGATTTGATGATAAAAAGATGGAAGAATAGGGCTAGACATGTGTTAGAATGTAAAGTGAAGGAGGAGAAAATGAAAAACACTAAGAACAAGAGAGAGAAAATGTAAAAGATAAAATGGATGAATGAATAATCTGACCTAAGGGCTATGAGGCATGATACAAGGTGTTTTCCACAGCTAAAGCATCAATTAAGAAATAGGAAAAGAAATTAAAATGAAAATGAGAGTCTTGTCACACTTGCAAGGTGGTACTTTTCTATTAGTTGGTAGATGATTCCAATATGTATCTAATTTTTCATATGTAATCGACATCATTAAGGCTGATTTAATCTCTCAAAATAATAAGAATTCATGCCCCATGCTCAACCATTGACCTCAAGAAGTGTTCACTTCAATTGCTCAATTGATATACAAGTCATATGCCATATATGTCATATAAATCACATAATTTAATTAAATAGCATGTCAAATAATAAAATTCAATTAATGTCCAAAATTAACTTCATAATTAGAAGGGAGAATTTATTAAAATAACCAAGTTTTCAGTTGCACAAAATTATATAGAAATTTTCATACAAAGGCAAACTGAAAACTAGGTCAAATTAAAACACTTTAAAAAGTATTAACTTTTTATTTAATTATTTTCGAACTAAAATAAATTTTAAACATATAATTTCACTACTCATCAATTGAACATAAAATTTACTTTATCAATTTTTCTTGTACATTTTTTCAAAATTTTATTTTTTTGACCAAAATGCCCTTAGTGCACTAAACCTAAATTTAAGTAAAATTTTAAATTTAATGCAATGTGTTCACTTGAAAGTGATAAATCATTAATAAAAGGATCTTAATTGACAAATAAAAGTGGATAACAAATATATTCTATCAAAAGGGTCATATCAACAACCCATTTGTGACGAAGTGCTTGACTCTCAAAGTCACGCTCCCTTTCATACAAAAAAAATTATATTGAAGGATCATAAAAAATTAAAACTCACTTTTTTTAATTTGATTTATAAATTTTAATTATTAATAATCATTAAAGAAAACATGTTGACAATGTGAATAACTAATTTTAGTAAAAGATAAAATCTTTAGCCCAAAAATGATTAAAAATAAAAGATAAAATCTTTAACTTCAAACTTTCTTAAACATCACATTAAACACTTCACAATATTTCAAAGATGAATACATATATTATAAAAACAACAATTTGGTCTTGAATCACCAACAAAATATCTTTTTCAAAAATTTCTAATTTCAAATATTCCATTGTAGAAAATGAGTGTCTTCCATATTTATAAATTACCTAACAAACTTTTTATAGAAACACCAAATGCACAATAATTCCAAATCCCTCCATAAAGCTTTCTAACATTCAAATGTTTTGCTTGACAATTTCTTAACAATCATAGCTACATTATCTCTATGATCAAATTTCTATACAATACCAAACTCAATTTGCAAGACAATAGCATCCAACCCACTTAAGTCTCCTAAGGAATTCAATGAAATTTTAGAAAATACACAATCAAGCAAATCCATCTAACAAGCATTTTCTCAAATATCTTATAGGCACCATTCTACAAGCTTCATGTCTAAGTTCTTCTATCTAAATCTCATCTTAACCAATTCTTTAATATCAATCAATCCAAACAAAACTAATTTAACTCAAAAATTCTAACCTATATTCATCATAATTATGCTCCCACCACATAAATTTCAGCTTAAACTCTTCTTCCCCCCCCCCTCAATAGTCACAGACAGCAACAACAGAAATCACTACTACAAAAAGAGCCTACAAGAGCATTTATTTTTTACCTTTAGAAGCGTTTTTTGAAACACTTTGAAAACTGATGCTCCCGTATATATGGGGGCATTTTTAAAATGCTTTCGTATCTTAGCCTACGGAAGCATTTATGTGCAAAAAATCTCCCATATGCTAACCTACAGGAGCTTTTCTAGATAGAAAAGCTCTCGTAGGCCCATCCTATAGAAGCATTTATATGTAGAAAAGCTCTTGTATGTGGGCACCAAGAAAAGCTCTTGTACGTTGACCTACTTGAGCTTTTCCTTGGGAAAAGCTCCATTAGGGTTTAAAAAAAAATTATGGGATTTTGTTTTGGTGGATTCTTGCCTACACACATCTATATATATCCAATCCTACAACTATGAAAAAAAAAAAAAAAAGACTTGCTCATAGAATTCATACACAAAACTTAATATATCATTAAACACTCCCCAAGTTTAATTAAAAAGCATTTCTTCAATGATAGAAATTCAACATAATTAACAACTTGTCATTTAATTTTAAAGAGACAACACTCAAACTATAAACCAAATTCTTTCATGTACACATCAAAATTCTTGTAACTTAACTACTTTTAATACCTTGTAAACATCTGACATCTTAAATCTTCTAACTCTTCCATCTCAGTAAAGACTTGCACTAGGCATTTGATGCAAAACACACACACTCATGCTCACATTGATTCGAACAAAATAGGAAAAAGGAAAAGAAACAAAAACAGAGACTTAGATAGGAGAGGGAAACGAGAACAAAGAAGGATAAAAGAGAAAGAAGTGACTGAAAATGAGAAAGAGCTTTCAAAACTAAAGGGAGAGAAAGAGCTTTCAGAAAATCAAAAGGCTTCAAACATTCATTCATCAATTCTACCTCCAAGTTGCAAAAGCGTCCATATATAAACTAGAGGTTTCCTCCCATATAAGGAAACATCCACTTGTAGCCCATTTAATACATGAAATGATAAAACAACCCACTTGCTAAATAGAGTTAAAAACAAAAAGTATTAAAATATAAAATTAAGATAGATTTCCTCTTATAGCAAGCTTCTTTAAAATATATGAATTCCTATATTCATCATTTCTCCCTTGTTTGATGGAGCTCTCCTTCGGGGAGTAAAAAAAAAATGAAGTAACTCCGCTAGGGCATGGTGTAGGGAATCCTTTGAAGTAGCAATTAGTCTGAAGACCCTTTCCAACATACAAGGTAGTGGAGAATGAGACCGTGTGGAGAGTAAGCAATATGATCATCATGATTTGGAAAACCTTCCCGATGAACAAGGTAGCTATAGAAGTTGTTATCAAATGGAAAAATAATATGTTCTTTCATAACCAAAACAGCTTTTGCAGTAAATGGTGTAGCACATATAGATGATTAAAAGTAAGAATCTGATAAAGTTGAACACTCTTGTCAAGATCACTTACTGGCTTCCACTCATAAGTCTCCACTACCTCTAAGTGATGATCTTTAGACAACAATTTAAAGCCTTGATTCACTTTAATATTAATGCGCCCATTTTTCATAGGACTGCTTCACTCCCAATTACAGGACTATGAATACTATTAGTATCCCCTTTTGGTATAACTGATATAGATGTAACTTTTTTGATGAGGATACCATTTTCTTGTGCCTTGAAGATATCATAATTCTGTCTTGAAAAAGTTATCTTCATGCCCCTTTGATGGCTTAAACATTTGAGATCCCTTAAGACTTTGTCAAACTTACTATTCATATACCCCTTCAACTCTTGAATTTTGTGATTCACATATTCCTTTTAAACCCTTTTAGATTCCTCAAGATCACTTTTAAGGATTCTGGACATAATGAACAAAAAATAAAATTCCAAAAATGATTTCTCGCACATAAGATAAGCCAGCAAGCTGTGAAAGCCACAAGATGAAATTTTACCCTAAATAAAGCTTTGGATGATGATTCCGGGCCCTTAGGTTGATCAGAACCAAAGAAACTCCTTGAAAACAGCAAATATACTAGAGATGTTGCATGGACAACGCGTGTGCGCGTGAAGACCATGCGCAGGAGACTCCTCTCGGGCATGACAGCACCTTGTGCTATGGACGAGGTGGGTTTTCTAATTCTGACCGGATTTCCCCTCCTGAGCATGAAGTGTGGCTCTGGGCTCTGGCAACGTGAAACAGAGTATGCTGGGCTTCCTAGTGAGTTTTCTTCCATCTCTAGCAGTGGGAACAGTCTAAGAGCGTTCAGAGCCTTGCTCTAATACCAACTTGATGCAAAACACAAACACTTACGCTCACACTGATTCAAACAGAATAGGAAAATGGGAAAGAAACAGAAATAGAGACTTAGAAGGAAGAGGGAAACGAGAATAGAGAAGGATAAAAGAGAGAGAAGTGACTGAAAATGAGAAAGAGGGGGAAAAGGAGAGATGCAGAACTAAAAGGAGAGAAAGAGCTTTCAGAAAATCATAAGGCTTCAAACATTCATTCATCAATTCTACCTCCAAGTTATAAAATCAACGTCTATATATAAATTAAAGGTTTCCTCCCATATAAGGAAACATCCGCTTGCAGCCCATTTAATACATGAAATGATAAAACAACCTACTTGCTAAATAGAGTAAAAAAAAGTATTAAAATATAAAATTAAGATAGATTTCCTCCTATAGCAAGCTTCTTCAAAATATATTAATTCCTATATTTCATCAGCATCTCAATAATTCTACAACAATCTAAACCAACATATTTAAAGAGAAGCAAATTTAAAATATCAATCATAAATGAAGATTAACATAGGAAAGAAAGTAGCTGAATTCACTAGGTTCTAAAACATCATAAAAGAAAATATCACCAATATATATTCTATAGAAAGATTTATATAGAGAAAAGATGGTTACCTTGACTTGAAGAAGTTAACAATCCATTCAATAAAATAGTATTATATCCAACAACTAAAAGTAGCTGCTGCCACCTGGAAAAGGAAAAAAAAAAAAAGTAAATACTATAAAGACCAATAATTGATAGGACTATTTTTCTTTTTTATCAACAAACAATTTACAAATCTCGGTGACAAGCCTATAGCACTGTAATTGTCAATGAAGATAAGTAGCCGCCCAATAAGAGATGAACCTATAGCCTACAGAACTATTTTTCTTAACCAGATTATCATGCCATACAAGTACATTACGAAATATTAACCTATTTCCAAAGCAGGGGTGCCAGGCCGATATGCTAAAATATAATATACCTTCTCCATATTGTATATAAATAAGTTGGTTGAAATGCCTTGCTCCCCTTTTCAAGCCATTGCACTAAAATCAAAAAATAGAAACAGATGTAGGATTATGTCTTTGAACTTTGGTAACACAAGATACAAGCATCCAGTAATAAAAGCCCTATTAGGGTATGAGTTTGAAGCATATCATTACCATGAATCCATAAAGAACCGTTGTACCATAAGCTTTAACAAAACCTCAGATCTCTTGCCCAAAAGAGAGGGAGGGAAAATAATAATAAAGACCTCAAATTTGTTGTACACTTTGTCCACTTGGAAGCTAGTTGGCATAAGGAAAGGGACATGAGGGAAATGGATGAAGTAAAAGTAAGTTGCTATCATGCACATAATTGCTGTCAGGCTAAATTAGAGCCACCCAATCTTTCCAAACTGATCGATACTGATGCAAATTCACATCAGTGTAATCCACATCCACACACAAGCGTGTGAAATGGGACTTAATGCTACATCATCATGCTTTTCTATGTTCTATATATATATATATATATATCTGTCAAGTAGAGCTCTCATAAAGTTTGAAAATGAAATCACCATGACAAAGAAGCAGCCTCATCGACCCCTTTTATTTTTTATTTTTTGCAATCAATCTATTCTCCAACACCTTCACTTGTTATTAATGTCTGTCAGATTCTCCACTCCCACTGATGACATTTACTCTTCTCACAATCTACATAAATTGCATCTCCTGTAAAATCAATAGAAAAACATACCTTCCAAAATTAAAATAAATATAGAACTTTTCCCTTTTGACTGATCCAATCCATGAGATGGACCTTCATATTCATATATAACAAGCGATTCTATATCTTTGGATTGTGTGTGGAGTCTATATGATTAGTTCCTCATTCATGTACAGTCCTATGTTTTGATAGAAAGGTCACCTGCAGCAGCTTTGGACTACATGGAGTATTCAAAATGGGACATGTAGTTAAAAATAATATTTGCTAAATCAAAACAAGGCACAACGTTGATTCAAGAGTAATCATGAAATGGGGAATCTAAGAGAACATGCTTATCATGGGCCATTTAGATTTCTAATTATACCACCCACATATATAATTTTCTTTGCCTATCCTTATTCAATAATACTAATGCAACATCTACATCTTCCTCTCATCATGGAAACTCATTTCTTATTAAGAGTGTTGTAAGTTTTCCTGGACCCCAAGAGCCAGAGGTGGATTCTGTTTCCTGCTCCTTCCCTTCATTTTTTTCACGAAGAGAGTTTCCTTTCTCATGAACTAGATTGCAAATGTATTATTTAAAAAATCGAATATCAAAGCAAGATGCACTAAGTTTAATTTTGTTCTCATTTAATGCACTTGGAGCTTATATATATAAGAATGCATTGCAAGTATCTTAATAAAATTGAGGAATGTCCATGAGTGCTAAAACTAAGTAGTGATTTGAGAATCTTAAACCTTCAAACATTAATGAAAAACAATTACAATAAGATATCTACAGTTAGTCTCACATCAGAACCCTTTCCACAAGAATTGATTGCAACAGGAAAAACTAAGATTATATCACAATTGACAGCAGCATTGAGGAAAGGAAATTTGGTTGTCCATTTGCTACAAAATTAGAATGACAATTAACAGCAACAAATGAAATTGAGATGCAAGATTATCAGCAAATGTCAATTTGCTACGAAAGCTAAGCAATCCTTGAGAACAAGTGAGAGAATCAAGAGAAAAACCAAGAAATATGTTTCTTGAGAGGCACATCAATTGAAAACTGATTAGAGCATGATATTTATATTTAGACAGGGAAAGAAACCTTGAGTTGCCGCAGAACTCATAGAGCTTGCCTCGATTGGAGAAGATGATAAGAGCAATCTCAGCATTACAGAGTACGGAGAGTCCGTAAGCCTTCTTGAGAAGCAAATAAAGAGATGTATAATTTATAAATAGATGAAAAGATGAAGGTCAAGTTGCTGAAAAGTGAGGAAGGAGGTTTAGACGAGAGCAAATCGAGGAGAATCTTCATTATACTAGATTGACAACGCTGGTGTGCTAAGAGCTAGAACACGACGTCGAGGGACTGCACAGAGATGGAATGTGGCAATGCTGTCTTCAGATCTAATTTCGCAACCAGTGGAGAACACCACTGGCAGAGCAACAAACAACAAGCAGAAACGACAAGTCGGAGGGCACGATCGAAGATGACTCACGGGAGGAACGACTCGTGGCTGCTGGGAGAAACTTGAGCAAATGAGGAATGAGAAAACCTAGATTAAAAAGGACCTACGGGAGCTATCATTCAAAAAAAATGCTCTCTCAGGCAAAATAAAAAAAAAAAAAAAGAAAAAGTTAGGCCCTATGGGAGCTTTTTGGGTTAGAAAAGCTCCCGTAGGTCTTCGCCCTACAGGAACGTTTTTAACCCAAATTGTTCTTGTGGGATTTATATTATTCTTTAAAATATTTTCAGCATTGACAGGAGTGTTTGTAATTGTAAAAGCTCTCGAAAATGTCAACATGTCGGAGAGTTTTCAATTGGAAACGCTCTAGTGTGCTCCGCCTTATGTTTTGGGAACGTTTTAAATTAAAAACGCTCCTGTATAGGCCTCCTATATCACATCTTACCCTCGCACGCACAGATTTTTCAACGAAAATAGGAAATCATGGTTCCTCATCTCAATAGAAACAGCAGGACAGAGAAGCAAAAGAAGAGGAATGTCTGAATTCCACGATAGAACACAAACAGAAAAGAGAGATGACGCATCAGAATTGGAAGGAGAAGAGGTAAAACCTGGTGCTCAATCTGTCACAGCAACTCGAACAGAGGGAGGAGAGGAGAGGAGTTCACAGTAAAAATAGGGGAGGAAGAAGCCCAATGCAAACGCATGCCACAACACTGTCAAAGGAGGAGGATTTCAGCGTTTTCCTCCAGTCACCAGCGGCGGACGAAGAGAAACGAAGGTGAAGGGAGAAGAAGAACATTGAACATACTCGACCGCATGGACGGAGAAGGTAGCGGACGCCGGCATTCACCATGGGAGAAGAACGAAAACTCATGACTCAAGCTTCTTGCACGGCGGACTGTGGCATACGCCCTATTCACGCCGGAGGAACTAGAATGGCGGAGGCGTGATTGCTTGAATGGAGCTCCCCTGTCTTCTCTAGAACTGAATCGAAGAGGACGAGGGAAAAGTGAAGCCATGTTTGGTAGGTTGGAATTGTGAAGATGAAAATGAAATTAGAATAAGAATCTGAACAAAGTGATGTTTGGTAGATATGAATTACAATTCTTAAGAATCCTGATTCCATGAAAATAGGTAGAATTGAATTCCTTCTTTAAAGCTATGAAATCAGGAGCAATTCTATAGAATTGTAATATTTAAGACACTTTTACCCTCATACAAATTTCAGAAAGACAATTTTGCCCTCAATGCAATGTCTTGACCAATAATAACTTTCTAGAGAAATTAAGTTTGAGGGGTATTCCAATTTAAAAACCATTTAATACTGGAGACAAAATGGATCTGGTGGATCTTATATAAAAAAACCAAGACAAATTACTCAAAAGGGTCCTACGTGAATATTTAGAGCAAGCGGGAGTACTGCACAAACTTGCGTCATTTCGTGTAACATAATTTAAGGGGTATTTTTGTCTTTTAAGTATAATTTCATTTCCATGTCTTGCATACCAAACAAAAATAATGCAAGGATTTTATTTAATTTTTCTGACATACCAAACATACTTTTATAATTCAATTCTATTTCAATTTTGATTCTAATTCTGATTCTAATTCCAATTTTAATTTTATTAAAAACTATTCAATCATACCAAACGGGGCCTGAAATATCCATATGTGATTTGACATGATCTCATCCTCATTCTATTTATTTTATTTATATTTTTGTTTCAACAAGGGCATTGAAGTAATTTCACAAGCTGAAGCAAAAGTTAAAAAAAAAAATTTCTTGTGTTCCATGTAGATTCGAACTTCGAAGCAGCAAGTAAAGGCCCAGAATAATTCCCTCTAAACTATCCATTCTTCACTTTGTTATAATTATTCCAAAATTTATAAAAATACAATCAAAATATATCATTATTAATTTTTAATATTATTTTTTTTTTCAGGGTTATTACAAAAATCTTCTCTAATTTTTTATTATCAAAATCAGGGTTCAATATCATATATTCTGTATGCCTATGAAGTATAGCTAATCACCATAAATATAACAATTGTCTCATCAGGGAAAAAAAAAATGAAAGGAGAGGAGTGAGTCTATCATTGAATCAGTGAGCATAAATAACAAAGTGCTTGGAAGAGAAACAAATGCACACGAGTTTTTACAAATGAATTTCAATGACATCAGTAAATATCCACATAAAAAACTACATGTTGAGAAGGAGAAAACAATTTTCCAATACTTATAATTAGTGAATCAGAGATCATATGTAATAACTCTTGAGACCCAATCTTTCAAATAAAAAAAAAATCTAGCCACAACATTCAATCTTCTAATTCAATCTCACAACATTCAATCTCGTCATCTAGTCACGACATTCATATCAAACAATTGTGTCCTTAAACATTCAATCGCCATAGTCTTTCAATCGACACTCATCATCGGTCGGAAATAACAATCTCACATACAATATAATAAATATATATCTCCTTAACATACACCAGTGAGGAATAACCATCCCACCAAGATAATATGTGCATAATTTACCACATGGAATATAATTTATGGTGAGAAATAGTTGTCTCATCTAACATCATATATAAATATATATATATATATATATCACAAAGTTAGAAAAATCGAGAAATTAATAGAATGTAAAGTAATTAATAGAAAAACAAGAATAATTGAAATAAAAATATTTTTCACCAATGGAAAATAAACCAATTTATTTTTTTTTAAAACACAAATTGAAATTAAAATAACTATATATTAACATAAAAAATAAAATAATTTTAGGTAGTGTTTGGATGAATGAATTTGGATTTAGATATGGGATTTGAAATGTCACAAATTTCAAATCTTATATTTAAAATTTTTTATTTGGTAGTTTACAAAATTTCAAATTCTAATTTTAAAATCCTTTGTTTAGATTGTGCAAGAAATTTCAAATTACAATAATCAACTTCTATTTCACTGTTTTATGTTAAAGTGACTGACCAAACTTACTTTTCAATCATATTATCCTAATCATGTTTTCTAGAAAATTTGTTCGATAGAAAAAAACAAAAAATTCATTTAAAATGATGAATTATAGAATTGATTTGTCATTCAACAGTAAAGCAAGTGTTCTAAATACCAAGTAAAGTATTAAAAAAAATTACTAACGTATTAACTAAAGTATTCTTAGTATCAAGTAAAGTATTAAGAAAATTAAGTCCTCAAACTCCAAAACCGAGTATTCTCAACACCTGGAAATTTTATTTATTTTGATCAACTATAATTGGAATCATTGACCTCTATTTGTCCTAAAAATCTAAATAAATTCACCGCACAAGGAAATGAATGTAATAGCATCAAAATTCATATGTTGCATAAATGAACAAAGGGTAGTCTCCCCCCCCCCCCCCCCCCTTTTTTGAGTAAATGGAAGATTTCATTAACTCAAAGATAATTGTACAAAGAAACGAAAGGGAACAGGACAAAAAATCGCATAAGAGCCTTTTTTTTTTTTGACCAAAATCACATAAGAGCCTTAAAGGCAGCAAAAGAAGGTAAAGTATGGCGGGCTAGCTACAGTTCTAACTTGAGAGAGTATAGTGTCAATATTGGAAGTTTCACCAGGAAGTAGGCGTCGGTTTCTGATGTCCCACAGCTTACGGACAATGCCGCTTAACCTTCCATGAGGTATCCAGATGAGTGTTATGCAGGCAATAATTACATTCAAATTTTATAATCAACTTCTTTTACAACCGCCAAGTTAAATTCATGGATTAATAACACCCAAACTAAACATACTTCTCATAAAAATTAATGAAATATCATGAAATTATAAAAATCAAGCAAAACTTTTGTCAATCAACTTTTGTGCATTAATTCTTAAACTCCAACCAAATTCCTTCTCCATCTATTCCAACTCTCAAAATTTTACAATAAAGATATTTGGATCATTCAGCTCCCCAACTATGTATTCCTTAATAGTAAAATCAATCTGAAGCACAAAGAAACCCCAATTCCAATCACCACATTTCGTACGACTAATGAAAAAGAAAAGGAAGTTTTCATAACTCAACCCACATGCAGCAACTAGGAAGAAGGATTGAAGCTTCTCACCTTAGAATCACTGACAACAGAAGTGAAAAGAAAAATCGACAAGAGCAAGGGAAAAGGAAGATCATGAAACCACGACAGTGCACACATAGTAGCACATGGATGGAGGAGGAATAAGGAGGGAGTTTCCTGCGACCCATGGCCTTCGATGACGGCAACAAGAATGAAAGAAGCTGTGACCTCAATAGAACCCCTACGTGTTAAATCTGATATCTCAATTCATATATAATTGAATATGATAGAATAAAATAATGTGTGTACTTGAAGAATCCATTGATCGCTTGAGAAAGCTCAATTACCTCGAGTGTAGACAGACACACAACCTACTGGTCTCCAGAGTCTTCTGAGAGTTTAGAGATAATAGAGCAGAAGAAAAATGTATCATATGTTTAGTGGTTATCGACTAATCGACTTATAAAAATTAGATCAATGACCACTTTATTAAATAATTAAATAATTATTTTTATTATCTTTGACTCAGTCAATTAAGAGATAGGAAATAACTGATGCCTATTGGGTTGTGAGTTGGGCTTCTACCTATTAGGCTCACTTATATGGTCCACCTATCACGGTCCACACAAGATCATAAGGACCAATCTGCTTAGGCTTATTAATTAATGTTAATCCATAAATAAATATTCCAACAATCTCCCACTTGGATTGCATTAATTAAGCAAGTTATATAAACAAGCCACAAACAAAATTCAGAAAATGAAACTCTATAAAATCATTGGATCCTATGGGAAAACAAGTAATATGATGTCTCATAATCTAAATAAAATATCAAATTTTATTTTAAACATAGCTCAGTAAAATAACAACATAAATCACTGATTCCTATGGAGAAACAAGTGACATGCATAGCGTACCATAACAGAATCATTGAATCCTATGAGGATACAAATAATATAGATGCATCTAACTGAATTGAATATAACTCACAGAAGAAAACAAAGCCTAAAGAGAAATTACAACATAAAGGTTCTCAAACTCTCACTAAACTAGGGCATCAAAGGAATTCACAATACTTATACAAGTTACATGATTTTGAAAAACTTCTACAGGCAAGCCCCTGGTCAGCGGATCTGCAAGTATCTGCGTGCCAAGAATGTGTACCACGGGTATGAGACTTATCAATTTTCTCTTTCACAAAGATAAGTTTGATATCAAAATGCTTTGTACGACTAGAATTTTTATGGTTATTAGCATAGTATACTACAAATTTGCTATCACAGTAAATGGTTAGAGGATGTGATATTGACTCAACTAGGCGCATGCTAGATATCAACTTTCTCAGCCATATAGCGTGACATGTAGTATCAAAACAAGCAATATACTTAGCTTCCATAAATGAAACTACTGTAAGTGTCTAGTTCATATTTTTCTAAGAAACAACTCCTCCAAATAACATGAAAATATGGCCAGTCATGGATTTATGATCATCTAGACAAGAGGCAAAATCTGAATCTGAAAAGCCAACAATTTCAAGATCTTCTGATCCCTTAAAGTCATAATCAGAATACTCAACAACCTCAAGAGAATTTGACCTTCTGTAAGTCAACATATAATTCATCATACCTTGAAGATACCTCATAACTTTCTTAGCAGCCTTTCAATGATCCGGACTTAGATCATTTACATATCAACCCAGCACTCCAATAGCAAAGGCTATATCTGGTCGAATACATACTTGAACATACATAAGGTTGCCGATAGTAGAAGCGTATGGTATCTTTCTTATTTCAGCCCTCTTCTTATCATCCTTAGGACACTGTAACTTTGACAATAGCTTACCTTTTTGTATAAGAGTAGGTGAGGGAGAACATGAATCCATTCTGAATTTCTTAAGTACCTGTTTAATATAGGTGGTCTGTAATAAACCAAGAATACCATTAGATCTATCATGATAAATCTGTATCCCAAGAATAAAAGAGGTTTCACCTATGTCCTTCATGTCAAAATGGCAAGACAATAGGTGTTTTATCTCATTAAGAAAATTCATTGAATTACTGGCTAACAAGATATCATCAACATAGAAAACAAGAATGGTAAAATTGTTTCCATCAAACTTCTGATAGATACACTGATCTGAGACATTTTCAACAAAATCGAGCTAGGTGATAACTTCATCAAACTTCAGATA